CTTCTCCCCAGGAACAAGCGATGGGACGAGAGGGAACGGCCTCAAGCTGCGCCAGGGCAGGTTTGGGTTGGGTATTAGGGAAAGTTCCTTCCCCAAAGGGCTGTCAGGCCCTGGCCCAGGCTGCCCAGGGCAGGGGCTGAGTCCCCATCCCTGGAGGGACTGAAAAGCCGGGGAGATGTGGTGCTTGGGGACATGGTTTAGTGGTGGCCTTGGCAACGTTGGACTTGATGATCTTAAAGGTCTTTTCCAGCCTAAACGATCCTGTGATTCTGTGAAGGGACCTGCAAGGATCATCCAGTCCAACTGCCTGACCACCTCAGGGCTGACCAAGTTAGAGCGTGTTATTAAGGGCATTGTGCAAACGCCTCTCAAACACTGCGAGGCTTGGGGCGTTTACCCTGTCCCCAGGAAGCCTCTTCCAGGGTCTGAGCACCCTCTTGGTAAAGAAATGCTTCCTCGTGTCCAGCCTAAACCTGCCCTGACACAATTTCCAATCGTTCCCAGGCGTCCTGTCCCTGGATCCCAGGGAGAAGAGCTCAGCACCTCCCTCTGTACATCCCCTCCTTAGGAACGTGCAGGGAGCAATGAGGTTGCCCTTCAGCCTCCTTCTCTCCAAACGAGAGAAGCCCAGAGCCCTCAGCCGCTCCTCAGAGGCCATGCCTTCCAGCCTCGGCACCAGCTGATTGCCCTCCTCTGGATGCATTCAAGGACCTTCACGTCCTTCCCAAACGGCGGGGCCCAGCCCTGCGCACAGTACTCCAGGTGAGGCCGCAGCAGCGCTGAATACAGCGGGACAATCCCCCCTCTTGGCCGGCCGGCCACGCTGTGTTCGATGTCCCCCGGGACGCGGTTTGCCCCCTTGGTGCCAGGGCACGCTGCTGGCTCCTATTGAGCCTGCTGCCAACCAGCGCCCCCGATCCCTTCCCGCCGGGCCGCTCTCCAGCCACTCCTCTCCCAATTTATGGGATGTCTTTGGGAAACCTGTAGCAGGTTCAGGGGAGAGCCACAGAAATGGTCAGAGGCTGGAACAGCTCTGCTGTGAGGACAGGCTGGGAGCTGGGGGGGTTCAGCCTGGAGAGGAGGAGGCTGCAGGGAGACCTCACTGCGGCCTTGCTGTGCTTAAAGGGGGCCGATAAGAAAGATGGGGCTAGTCTATTTAGCAGGGCCTGTAGCAATAGGACAAAGGATAATGGTTTTAAACTAAAAGAGGGCAGATTAATTCTAGATATAAGGAAGAAATTGTTTACGATGAGGGTGGTGAGACACTGGCCCAGGTTGCCCAGAGAGGTGGTGGATGCCCCATCCCTGGACACATCCAAGGCCAGGCTGGACGGGGCCCCGAGCACCCTGATCTGGTTGTAGATGTGCCTGCCCATGGCGGGGGTGGGACTGGATGGCCTGGAAAGGGCCCTTCCATCCCAAACCCTTCTCTGATGATTCTGTGAAACCCTCCAGATGACATTTCTCGCACAACTGAAGGACCTTGAAGTCGTCGGTTCTGCTTAAGAGTGAAAATATTTTTATCATTTAATCAATATCTTGTTCTTTGCTTTATATATAGAAAAGTGGTGAAGAGCCTAAAGCACAAGGCTGGGGAGGAGCGGCTGGGGGAGCTGGGGGTGCTCAGCCTGGAGAAGAGGAGGCTGAGGGGAGCCCTCATCGCTCTCTGCAACTGCCTGAAAGGAGGCTGGAGCCGGGGGGGTCGGTCTCTTCTCCTCAGGAACAAGCG